TCAGGCTGTCGGCGTCTGGGTGCTGCCAAGCAGAAGCAAGGTGAGGAGCAGGGGAGGGGACCGGGGTGGCAGAGAAGAAGGGGGCAGACCCGCCCCACACCCCACACAGCCGTGTCACCATGTGGGAAGGTTACTCCCCTCTTCCCATTGTGCTGGTACCTGGTACCTACTGATCACTTTGCCAACGCGAATGTCCAGCCGGGATGGGACCACGTTCTCCGGCTCCGAGTTCTTGGTACCCTTCTCTGCAGGCTCTGCAGCGCAAAGGGAACAGTCGTGCCACTCGGCATAAACCCAGGGAGCTGGCCAAGCCCTGGGGAGTCGGCGTCTGGGTGCTGCCAAGCAGAAGCAAGGTGAGGAGCAGGGGAGGGGACCGGGGTGGCAGAGAAGAAGGGGGCAGACCCGCCCCACACAGCGAGTGCCCGTGTCACCATGTGGGAAGGTTACTCCCCTCTTCCCATTGTGCTGGTACCTTTTCCACACTGATCACTTTGCCAACGCGAATGTCCAGCCGGGATGGGACCACGTTCTCCGGCTCCGAGTTCTTGGTACCCTTCTCTGCAGGCTCTGCAGCGCAAAGGGAACAGTCGTGCCACTCGGCATAAACCCAGGGAGCTGGCCAAGCCCTGGGGAGCACACAGTGACCCCCAAACGCTGGCCCTGGGGCCCACCGAATTCCCTGCTTGTCTCTCTACCACACAGCACAGTCCCTCCTCCGCTTTGCTGGCCTCTCAAGCACCAGAGAAGCACGCTGGCATCTATCCTCCCTGGGGCAGGCAAAAACCCCTGGCATTGGCCTTTCCTCACCCTTCCTAATGCTCTCCGGGGCTGCTCCTGAGACTTAAGTTTCAGAACCTCTCTCTAACCTCGGCCCCTGGAGGGACTCTCTCCCACCCACTGGCCAGGCCCCCACTTCCCCGAGCTCCCAGCACCTCCTTACTGGCTTTGGATGGGTTGGGATACGCTGCGTTGGTCAGCTTCTTCAGTTCCGGGCTGTTGAATTTCTCTCTGATGGGGTCAAGCAGTTTGTTCAGGGCCACTTCCACCGAATTCTTCAAGTCTCCGGGATGCACGACCTGTATCGCGACAGACAGACAGGTTCCTGCATGGTTTCCTCCAGGGCACAGAGAGCAGCAGAATTCGAGTCACTGATCTGAGTCCAGAGAGGCAGGAACTGGAGACCACGCAGGGCGGGGAGATGAACCCCAGCACTTGGACTGATTCCCCCTCGGACAACAGAACCCCTCTTCTGGCCTCTTTTGCTTGCAGCCTCCGCTGGGGACAGCTGAAAACAGTTGAACTGCTGCTCTGTTCCAGGACGTGGCTGACGTGGTTCTGTCCTGCAACAGGACAGCTGGTGCCCCCCCATCCTTCACCCATCCTCTCACCTTTGGGCTCTCCTGGCTGGCAGCACCCTGCCACCCTACAGGCACTGGGCCACACTCGGCTCCACGCTCTCCCCTGGTGCGGATTTCCATCTCCCACTGCTGCTCAGAGCCCTCCCACAGCACTCTCGGGAGCCTCGGGGACAAGGAGGGGGTTCAGTCCCTCCCGGCGCTCACCTGCTCAGCAAAGTCCTTCTCCAGGGCCTCATAGGCTGTGTAGGTTTTGTTTCCTCCCCATTTTTCTTCTCGCAGAACCACAAACTCTGCGACACACAGATTTTAAGGCTCAGATTAACCCAAGCAGAGACTCACTCCCTGCTCAGCCAGAGAAACCACCCGTCCCACTTAGCCCAAGAGCCGAGGGGGATCGCAGCAGGGGCTGGGGAGGGGGCTCTCAGGGGCAGCCTGCTTCAGGGGGGACACGCTCCCGTCCCCTCCTCTTACCCACAGGAAAGACCAGCCCCAGTGCCCGAGCATGGGGAGCCCCTCACCTGACTTAAGGGGAAAGAGGACGTGCTTGATGAAGGAGAGGACACCGTTGTTCTCCACGTTCCCTGGCTCGCAGAAAGCCTTCTTCAACTTCTTCTTCACATCCTCCTTGCGGTCCAGAAGGTCAATCTTTGAGTCCTGGAGGAAGAGATTTCCGCAGCCCTTTACCCAAGCTCTCGCCCAAAAGAGACAACTCGTGCTGGAGTTGCTGCAACTTCTTCTCAGACCCCAGTGTGAACGGAGAGAGAAGTCACCTTCTCTTGGGGTGCAGCCTCTCCGCCGCCAGCCATTAACCCGACCCCCCCGCAGAACCCCTGACCACAGCCACCGTTCAGGGACCAACCTCTTCTGACGAGCTCATTTTGCTGCCTGTCAGACCGGGAACCATCGGGTTCATCAAATGGACGCGCTTGGCATAGCCCAGGGAAGGAAGGTACTGGGAAAAAGCAAGGAGGCAAGTCACGGACAATCTTCTTCTGAAGATCACCTTTAACTCACAATCCCTGTTTGCTCCTGGCTCCAGATAACTTGGGGACCCAGAATAACGGACCCAGAAAGCTCTTGCGAGTTCACAAGGCTCTGGCGGCCACAGCCAGGGATGCGTGGC